AAATTTTTTATATTTAAAAATTGCGTAAAAATACTATAAATCATGATAATTGACAACATAAAATATTTCAAAAATAAATACATTTAAAAAAATTCGATTGATTCTTGAAATTAATCTATCGTTAAAAATTATGTATAAAATACAATAAATCGTGATAATTGACAACTTAAAATATTTATTAAAAAAACAGAAAAAAAAATTGACTGATTCTTAAAATTAAATCGTGATAATTGACAACATAAAATTGTTCAAAAATGTTGTATGTGGGTAGTCTTATTGTGCCTTGAATAGCGTCAAAGAAAGTACAGGTTTGTGATAAAAAAAACTTATTCTTTTATCCACGCAAACAATCGCTTCAAAAATTTCGTTATTAGCCCCAAAACATACCATTTATGTTATTGGGCCCGTGCATAGCACGGGCAACAAAATCTAGTTGTAATATAAAAAGAAGATTATTTTGATTATTGATTCTTGTGTGCTATATAGTACTTTAATGTTTGTTATCAACAGTTTCACTTTTATAATATTTTTATATTTGTTGAATATAAACTTTCACATTTAGATATGGTTTGCATTAATTTATTTATTATTTAAGTTTTTTTTCCTAATAGTATGATGACATGTTTATCTTATTTCTTTTCACGTTAATTGGATTGATGTTACAAATACTTTTTTATGTTAAAAGTGGAAGGTTTTAAATTCAAAGTTGAATTACGAAAATGCCTTTCTCTATTATTTTTTAATTAAAAAATTACTTTTTTCTAACTTTTATAATCGAATCAATAATAACAATTAATATATTATATATTAGAAAGTTTATGTTAAAATGTTGAACTTTATTATATGCTTTTGAAATAAACCTATAATGACACTTTCACTTTATTATATGTTTTTCAAATAAACATGTAATAACACTTCCATGAATTATAAAAAGAGTTTTTTTGACTCTATTTTATATTATTTATTTTCACCAAATTTTTTACATTACATGGATTTAATGGACGAACTTGGTGGCACACAATAAGATAAATAAATTAGAAATATGAGTTGGGACGGTATAATATTTAATATAATGATAGAGGTCAAACTTTGAATATGCTCACCGTTCATTGATTTGAGCTTGTATTTTACACATCGTACACTTATATTTTAGAAGTATTTATACTAATTAGCACACGATCTACACGTGCAACACACGTGTTCGAAAACTAGTACAATATATAATCATCCAAACATAGTGTAAAGATGTACGCAAAAATATCTTTTTTTTGCTTCAATTACTCGTGTAGAAATTGGGGATCTACTCCCTCCTGTCCATTTTACTTCTTGTGGTTGCGAAAACAACAAATCAACAATTGATCTAAAATATTTTCTTCATCTTATTTTAGTTCTCGTTAGTAGTAATTTAAAATACTCTTTTCATCCCATTTTAGTATCACTTTTGTTTAAAAAATTATCATTATAGAAATTCAAGACTAAATTATTTAGCATTAAAGAAATACTTAGTTTTTTTTTATTTTTTAAGTTCAATTCTCAAAAATGATATTACCTCCGTTTCAATTCAATATGTAAATTTTGTTGGTGTGTATGGTTGGTTTATCAAGCTTTGTGTTGTTGCAAGCCTTTTATTTCAAATTTTTACAACACTAGTGACGAAATATAATTTTATGTTTTGTCACCTCCAAGCCATCAATCAAATAGGACAATAAGATTTTTGTAAAGTGAGAAAAGAGTCATTTGTTAATGTGTTGCAGTTGTCTTCTTTCTTTTTCACCTTTTTTAAGGCAGAGGTGGTTCATTCGGAATTCAACTAATCCCGATTAATCTAAATAAAGACTCGTACGAAAATTAAAGCGTTCCTTATGGAGACCGATGAGTTGCAACTTGGAATTGTGAAAGATGAAAAGAAGTGGAAATACTC